TCCAGGCCCAGTCAGTTCCAGGTCGTGTCGTCCGCCCCAATCCAGCCGGCGGCCAGCCAGTCGAGTCCGCCCATCGCCGTGGCCCTGTGCTTGTCTCTTATACACATCTAGATGTGTATAAGAGACAGGTTCCAGGTCGTGTCGTCCGCCCCAATCCAGCCGGCGGCCAGCCAGTCGAGTCCGCCCATCGCCGTGGCCCTGTGCTGCCCGCCCGCCCGGGTCTCACTGGATTCCTTTTTCCCTCTTCCTTTACCTCGAGTTGTTTGTTCTTTTTTCATAAAACTGCTGCTTCTGCTTCTGCTGCCGTTGTCGCTGCTGCCGCCGCTGCGTTGCGCTCCTCCGCCCGCCGTCTGCAGACCCAAACGCTATTGCCGTGCCCGATAGCGCTGTCGCATTCGTCTCGAGCCACCCACGCGGCCCTTGTCGCGGTACCTGGCGGCGCACGCGTATTACAGGTACCCGCGAGTACCTCCCGCCACCAGCCGTCACCACCTCAGCGCCCCCGGCTGCTTGCGAGGCCGGGCAGCGAGCTCGACCAAGTACCACCTCTGCCTCTAGCGGCCTGGGCACCCTTCCGCGATCAGCGGCTTGGAGCCACCAAGTACCTGACCACCTCCCACCCCCTGTCCCTGGGTCTCGTCGCTCGACCCGGGAGAGCTCGCTTCCCTCCATCAATCTCTCTCCTTTTCTCTCGCCCGACAATATCAAACGCTATCCTCCACTCTTCGCCAATCCCAACGCTCACCGCAGTCATTCTTTACCTGCCTCCTGCTTTCCGTCCGCTGCCTGTTCACAAGATCGACCGTTTCCCACGCGCAAACTCTCCCTAGGTGCTTCTCTCGTTTCTCGCTCGACAAACTCAATCGACCCGGCACTCGTCAACTACATGCACCGTCGACCATAAAAAGGCACTCGACGACCTTCACCGACCTGAATGCACCGATAAACCGCCCGCAGCTCTTCGCAAGAGCTCCCGTTCCCCCGTCTACCTTCACTAGGTATTTGCAGCTTGGACTCACCGCCGTCCGGCGCTGGGGAAGCCGAGTCCTGACTTTCACGGTCCAGGGCCCGCCCCGTCGCGCATCTACCACGCAACCAGCAGCAGCAGCATCAGCAGCACCTCGGGGTCGCCGCGAGCCGCATCTTCTGCAGCAACCGCCGAGATGACGGTCGCCAACGACCTGACGCCGCGTGGCCAGCCGCACGGCCACATGGCTCTCGAGGACCGCTTCGAGGTCCTCAAGGAGATTGGCGACGGCAGCTTTGGGAGCGTCGTCCTCGCCAGAGTAAGGACGGCAGGCGCCAATGTCGCCCGCCGTGGGTCGGTGGTGAGTGGTGTGAATGCGGGCTTGCCAGCTCAGCGCCCCAGATTGACTTTCGTCACCCTCTAACTTTGGTTTGCCGCGCAGGTCGCCATCAAGTCGATGAAGAAGACGTTTGACTCGCTCGCGCCGTGCCTGGAGCTGCGCGAGGTCGTCTTCCTGCGGACGCTGCCGCAGCACCCGCACCTGGTGCCCGCCCTCGACATCTTCCTGGACCCTTACACCAAGAAGCTCCATATCGCCATGGAGTACATGGAGGGCAACCTGTACCAATTAATGAAGGCCCGCGACCACAAGTGCCTCGACAACTCGAGCGTCAAGAGCATTCTCTTCCAGATCATGCAGGGGCTCGAGCACATTCACTCTCACCACTTCTTCCATCGCGACATCAAGCCAGAGAACATTCTGGTCTCGACGTCATCACACCAAGAATCATCAAACTCATTCCGGCGCTACTCGGCGTTGGTGACTCCTCCGTCCACGCCACCGACGTACACGGTAAAGCTGGCCGACTTTGGCCTGGCCCGCGAGACTCACTCCAAGTTGCCGTACACGACGTACGTGTCCACGAGATGGTACCGGGCGCCCGAGGTGCTCCTCCGGGCCGGTGAGTACTCGGCCCCCGTGGACATTTGGGCCGTCGGCGCCATGGCCGTCGAGGTCGCCACCCTCAAGCCCCTCTTCCCCGGCGGAAACGAGGTGGACCAGGTATGGAGGGTCTGCGAGATCATGGGCAGCCCGGGCAACTGGTACAACAAGGCCGGCGTCCGCGTCGGTGGCGGCGACTGGCGCGACGGCACCAGGCTGGCCGGAAAGCTGGGCTTTTCGTTCCCCAAGATGGCTCCCCACTCCATGGACACGATCCTGCAGTCCCCCCAGTGGCCGCCGGCCCTGAGCAACTTTGTGACCTGGTGCCTCATGTGGGACCCTAAGAACCGCCCGACGTCCACCCAGGCCCTCAACCATGACTACTTCCTGGACGCTGTGGATCCCCTGCGGCCCAAGTCGTCAGCGTCCAAGATTCTCGGGCGGAAGCAGTCGGACCTCGGACGGGCCTCCAAGGACGGCTCCTCCACCTCGGGCTCGTCGAAGCCCTCGTGGTTCCGCAAGTCCCTGATCGGGGGCCGCAGCGACGCGACGGAGCCCGCCCCAGCTCAGGCGCAGGTCAAGGACACGCCGTCGCAGCGCCCGCCGGTGATGCACGCGTCGACGACGCCCGAATTGATGGCCAGCAGCAAGCCGCGGCCGGGCGCCAACAAGCGCAGCACCTGGAGCAACGGGCTGTCCAACAACGCGGCGCCCATGCCCATCCTGCCCACGATCCGGCCCATCTCGCCGCTCTCGGACGCGGTAACTGCCCGTGCCAACAACGGCCTGCCCGAAGCTAGCGCTAATAGCCGCGGCCAGGAAAAGTCCAAGAAGATTGGCAGGCAACTGTCGCTGGCGTCGACATCAAAGTACACGGAGCTGCACCGCCAGCAGGCCGAGCGGGCCCTCAACGGCAACACGGGGCTGGCCTCGCCGCCGAGCGGCCACAAGGAGAGCTTCTTCTCGCACCTGCGCAAGCGGGCCAGGCGCTTCTCGGGGCGCCACCAGACGCCCGTCTCGCCGTCGTACGAGGACATGGAGGCCCAGATTGGCTGTGGGCCGTGGGCGAGCAACCGGTCGTCCATGGTGGTCGACCAGCAGAACCCCATCCCCAAGGCCGAGGTCTACGAGTCGCTCGATAAGGCGCTCCGCGATGTCCAGAACAACACGGACGCGCGGTCCCCCATGCCCCTGAGCCACCAGCAGTCGAGCAGCAAGCTCAAGAGGCACCACTCCCTCCCCCAGCACCAGGCCCGCTCCGTGGACAACCTGATTGGCGCCGCCCGCAACGGGCCCATTTCCAGCCGGACTCGGCGGGCGCAGGCGGCGCACGGCGTGCAGCAGTACGAGGCGCCGGCCGAGGAGGACGAGCTCCTCGACGAGGTCCTGACGTCGACTCAGCGCGCCATGAACCGCATGGACGGCGCCGGCAAGCCGCTTAGGCAGTCGGCTAGCAACCTGGGCCTGACGACGACGCCACACCCTTACCCCAGCCCGTCGCCCTCGGCCAACGGCAACCAGGTCATCTACGGAGAGGGACACGAGGCCCTGACGCCAAAGCCCCTGGACCTGAGCAAGAAGACGGACGACCAGTACAAGTGGCCCACGCCTCCTTACGAAGGCAGCGAGTGGGGGGCGTCTGCGTCGGCGAGCATCTGGGCCGCCGGGAGCAGATTCTAGCGGACGACTGGACTCGACAGCAAAGGGCGGATGACTGTTTGGGCATGATGACGTCCACAATGAAGAGGCGGTCAAAAGTTGGTGTTGATTCTTTTTTCACTCTCGCATATACACACAATCGGCGTTGGGCGGTGTTGGATGGCGACACATTGCACTCTTTCTTTCTCGTTTTACTCGGCGGCGGTCTCGACCACAAGGCACGCTCGCACGGCGGCCTGCACTGCACACTACGATCTTTATTACACACCTTCTCTTCGCCGGAGCCACGCCCGCGCGGCTCCGACCACCACTACGTTCGCTCGCCGTCGGGCCCGGTTGCGCCGTGGCCGCGGAACACACACACTTGTTTATCATTCTCTCTCTCTCGAATTTCGTTGAGCGGCTTGAGCACGAAATACCCCCCCTATATAGACTGACAAGGGCGAGATCGACTCGGGCCCGGTTGCGATCTGCTTGATGCACAATACCTCACAGTACCTCGACACATTTTTTCAGCCACATGGTTTCATTTGTTAGACTACATATTACAGGGGGACTTCAGTTGCGGTGGCAGTGGCAGAAGAGACGGAGCCTGAGGCGTTGCGGGTGGCTGGGCAGCCCGGCACAAGCAGGTAGCAGAAATACACTTTGTAGGTGCACCCTGCCGTCGCAGGGGGCCCTGCAGTTGGCTGGCAGAGGCAGACTGGACGAATGTGAAAGTGACAGTGCCGTGTCGTGACGGAGACGTGCGTGAGCTGATGATGGGGCGACACGACCCAGCGACGTCGGTGCTCCGCCATGAGGCCAAGACGCGTACACCGTGGAATGCAGCACCTGATCGCAGTACTGTACTCCGTGCTCTGTACCTACAGGGTGCAAGATAACGACTCCAGATGCATTGACTGTGCGGGGATGAGGGGGATCTCGTGGGCTGACGGACGACGCTGCGACAGATGACGTTGGGCCGGCCAGGCAGACTCGATCGAACGGGTGCCTGCGATGGCTGCAGCGGACGCCGATGACAGGACAGGGTATTCTGGCGCGGCGCCCGCAGCATGCACGGCGTCGATCTGGAACAGGCTGATGCGACAAGCTGCAGGGAGAGCGAGCAGAGCCGCGCCGCAAGCGCAAACGACACCTGGATACACGAGGGGGACGGACATTGGCGCCCCTCGGGGGCTGAGTCCCCCGCGTTGCACAGCACCAGCACGGGCGTGGGTCAATCGGCCGCAGGAGCGACATCGTCACACGTATCCGATTATAGGTAGAGAGCGCTGCAAGGTCTGGTGTCGGTGCTCGCAACGGGCAGGGAGGAACAATGAGCGGAGGCTTGCCCTGAATAGCGGCGGAGGGGGGTGCTGGTGGTGGTGGTGGTCTGTGGATGGCGTTTATACGGGCAGCGCTTGTCCGAATCGGAGCCGCCGGCTGGAGGCGTCGAGGGACCTGTGCCTGTAAAGTGCCTGGAGGGAAGCCGGTCGTCGAGGGCCGCCCAGGGCGCGCCCCAGGGACGAGGGAGGGAGGACCAGCATCCGCCATCACGTGCCTGGGCGGGCAGGCGCGGAAGCTCTGCTGGTCAACGTGAGCGTGAACCCCAACCCCAGACTGGGGGGCAGCGGGCGGGCCGGTGTGCGGGCGGGCGCCCGGCGAGCATCGGAGCCTCCAGCTCCCTCCCTCGAGAAACGGGCGGGCGCCGCCTGGCAGGCAGCAGGATACAGATATAGTCTGCAAACACCTGAAAGGGCTCCGTTTGGCCATTGCATCTCCCCGTTTGTCCTGCTGCCTGCGTCGCATTGAAACCCTGGTCCCTCGAATTGGCCTTTCACAGCAGCAGCAGCAAGAGCGAAAGCAAAAGAGTCTGCGCCTTTGCTGCGCTCGCATCGCCGTGTTTCGATTCGTTTCGCAACCCGTACCTACAGCAGCGGCCCCGGCGGGGTCCAGGTGAGGCTCAAACGCGCCCGCACGCCCGCCCAGCGCAGGTAGCGCAGCACAGCGGGGTTGGCGCTCCTGAATCGACCCGACAAAGGTGCCTGGCAACGTCAGCAAACGGCTTTTGGCGGCAAGGCTCGTCCTTGACGGCACCCCGTGCCTGGCTCGCATCTCCATCTGCAGCATCGCGCGAGAGCACCACCACGCGGCAAAGCTCCAGCAGGCGACGGCGACGCCTCTTCCTCTCTCTCGTCCAGTACAGGGGGCCAGGGCATCTTGGCTGCTGCGTTCGCTCCTCAACCGCTGCCCCGCGCCACGACCAGACGACCCCTCCTGGCTGTCACCCGCCGCGAAACACCTGCGAGCTCGCATCGCGAACGCCGCGACCTCCTCACCCACCTGCTGCCGGCTGCCTCAGGGGCCCTTCCCCTCCCTCACGGTGATGCTCGCGGGTGGGCTCCAGGACGACGCGCCTCACTCCACCGAGCCAGCACGTCGCACATCTACCACCACCGCCGCCGCGCACGGGTGAGAGGGGACGACGCATCGCCCTCCGTCGCGCCGCCCGCCCGCCGCCCGCCATGCAGCCGAGCAACAGCGCCATGAGCCTCAACCTGCCGCTGCGCACCAGCAACAGCCGCCGCAACCAGGACAGCCGCAACTACTTTACGAGCTACACGCCGCCGAGCTCGACCGAGGCCATCAATGGGCCCGTCAGGGAGCCGGCGCGCGAGCAGCCGCCCATAAGCGACAGGCTGATTGTGGGCGTCGATTTTGGGACCACATTTTCGGGGTGAGTGTGTACCTGTCGTTTGAGCATTGATGAGTAGCTGCGAGATTTGGGGTTCGTTTTCGCCGTGGCGGTCTGCGCGGACGCCTCTTGGGTGTGAGTGTTGGTGATGGGCTCCCTCACCGGCTCCAGTGAGCCTTCAAATGAGATGAGCAAGAGTCGTCTCTCTGGCTGCCGCAGGAGCTCACACACTTCATCATGACCAATTGCTAAACGAGACATGACGACAGCGTCGCGGCCGTTTACACCTCTACCCCCGACGACATTGAAATCATCAAGACGTGGCCAGGCGGCAATGGCATCACGTCGGACAAGGTCCCCACCGAGATTGCCTACGACTTCCCGGCCAACTCGACCCCGGGATCCGAACCGACGGCGAAATGGGGCTTCCAGTTCAGGCCCGAGGAGTCGCGGCTGCGGTGCATCAAGCTGTTCCTCGACCGCTCCCAGAAGCTGCCCTTCTACGTCAGCCCGCTCGACACGGCCGCCCAGCTGAAGCGCTTCAACAAGAACGTCGTCGACGCCGTCAGCGACTACCTGACCCAGATATACAAGCACACCATGGACACGCTGACCCGGCGGTACGGCGAGTCCTTCATGGCGTCGACCAAGGTCGAGTTTGTCCTGACCTGCCCGGCCGTCTGGAGCGACGCCGCCAAGAACACGACGCTGCAGGCGGCCGAGCGGGCGGGCATGGGGAGCCGGTCCGAGATTCAGATGATTAGCGAGCCGGAGGCGGCGGCCGTCTACACGCTCAAGGCCATCCAACCGAACCACCTCAACGTCGGGGACAATTTCATCGTCTGCGACGCGGGTGGCGGCACGGTAGAGTGAGTGCCGAAGAGGCCATAGCAATGTGCCACGCTAACATGACACGCACAGCCTTATCGCGTACAAAATCATGTCCCTCAAGCCGCTCCGCGTCGAAGAGTCGGCCGTCGGCACCGGCGGCCTCTGCGGCAGCGCGTTCCTCAACTACAGATTCGAAGAGCACGTCAGGAGCAGACTCGGCCAGACGCGCTTCGACGAGATGAAGACGAAAAAGGGCAAGACGTGGCAGATGGGCCTCAAGTACTTTGAGGAGTTTGTCAAACGTAACTTTAACGAGGACGAGTATCAGGAGGTCAACGTTCCGTGAGTGGCCGACACGCTGCACCATGGTGAGATCACTGTCGCTGACTTGAGCAGGTTCCCGGGCCTTCCCGACGACGAAGAGGCCGGCCTCGACTCGGGGTTCCTGGTCATGACCGGGGACCAGATCAAGGACATCTTTGAGCCGGTGGTCAAGGAGGTGTGCGACCTGGTGTACGGGCAAGTCGAGAACCTGCGGGCCAAGGGCGGCATCGTGTCGGGTATCGTGCTGGTCGGTGGCTTTGGCCAGAGCGACTACCTGTACCGGCGGCTAAAGCAGCACTTTACGAGCGCGGCGCCGCCCCCGTATAGCGAGCGGCCGACACACGCGAGCGCGAGCGCGACACAGGACGGTGGGTCAATCGAGGTGATGCAGCCCGTGTACGCGTGGACGGCCGTGGTGCGTGGGGCGGTGCTGCGCGGGCTCGAGGGCAACATGGTCATCTCGCGCAAGTCGAGGATGCACTACGGCACGTCGTACGCGACCGTCTATGACGAGGAGAAGCACTCGGTCAGCGAGCGGTACTGGTCGCCGCTGTGGGAGCGGTGGATGGTGTCGGACCGGATGCAGTGGCACATTGCCAAGGTGAGCCCCCAGCGCGGAGGCTTGACAAGACATTGCTGACACGTCGCAGGGCGAGGCGCTCTCGCCCCTTTCGCCGATTGCGTTTCACTACACGCGCAACTTTCGTCCCGGCCAGTCGCTCATCGTGACGGACGACCTGATTGCGTGCGACGCCGACGAGCCGCCCACGGCGTACACGCGGGACCTGATCCACGTGTGCACGCTGACGACGGACCTGAACGCCGTGCCGCGGAGCCTGTTTACGCGGCTGACGACGACGCGGGGCGTCGAGTTCGACAACCTCGACTTTACGCTCGAGATGATTGTGGACAGCGCGGGCCTGGGCTTTGAGCTCAAGGTGGACGGCGTGCGGTACGGGCGGGTGGAGGCCGAGTTTCACTGATGGCGTATATATGGCGACTGTACGAAGGGTTGAACAAAGATGGGATGAGTGTTGTTGAGCCGCCCGTGTGAGTGCCGGAGCAGCGCGGCCGCAAGTTGAATAGATGGCGGTGAATCAATGACCTCTGGGCATTGTCCCGGGGCAAGATGCTGATGCGACGCCTCCCGCCGCCGTTTGACAAACTACGCTCTGATGAGCTGGGGATTGTCCAGCTTTGTCGAGGCGCTCCTGTCCGTGCTTGTATGGTGCGTGACAAAGGGTGAAGCCCACGGTGATGCACTCTAGCAGCACCCGGGCTATAAAAGCAAGTGTAGATAAATAAGCGGCGGCGCCAGCATCTCCAGCTTCCACCCACAAACTGCCTCGTCAATGGATACGAGAACATGCCTTACAAAAGCACGACCAATATAGCTACGGCGACTGGACCTCAAGCCGCTGGGAAGGGCGGCGAGGGGTCTCGTCCCCGCCCACAGCTCCGACGGTGCGAGAGCCGGTGCTTCTCGGCGGTGGAACAGGCCGACTCGGACGAGATGGTGTTTACGTTGCGGCTGCCGGACCTAGCCATGCCAGGTAGACCACTCTCTCCTCTCCTTAACTCCCATCACCCTTCCCGCGGCCATATTTCACGTATTCTACTCGCTATACGGCAAAGGGCGTCTGGCTCGCGCAAAGACATGGACGGGCACAGGGGCAGCATCGGCTAACGCACTCGCAGCACTCGCGGCAACGGACCGCATCGGCGAGCACGAACGGACGCGGCTAGCACAGGACCGGACGCGGGAGTGGCTGCGCGGCGTGGGGGCGCGACTTGCGGGCGAGCCGCTGGGGCCGGAATTCGGCGTCGCGGCGGTGGCGGTGATGGAGTTGGAGGCCGGACGAAGAGGTGAGGAGGCGAGGGACGACGGCGGGAGGAAGGGCGAGGAGGAGTGGTGGGAGGACGTGGGGGCGGTGTTGAAGGAGTGCAGTGAGTCTGTCCTTGATCCTGGGGATGCGTGGTGAGGGTGTGTGATGTGGTGGTGTGGTGTTGATGAGCTTGTGGGCTGACGACGTTGGTGTTGTAGGAGAGCGCGGCACGGAGGCGGTGGAGGACATGGTCAGGGACGATGCGGATGAGGAGCTCATTTTCCCCATGGACGAGGATTTTGATGTAAGGGGAAAGGGGAAGGGTAGTTGATGAGTTGTTGACGAGTTGTTGAATGAGGGTGGGTTGTACCCATAAGCGGCAGACAATGCGAGATGGTTGTAAGTGAGCGTTTCACTCAATGACGCCAAACGGTCGTGGCAGAGGCCCTCAATACTCGGTAGTATTAATCCCCCAGGCGTCTAGAGACAGTCGAAAGAACCCATCACCCCCGACATCGACAATCACGAGCAGAGCACGTTGCTCCAAGAGTGGCTGCGGTTGCAGACGCGGGTGGCTGCAGCGCGGCGGATCTGACACCAAATCCAGGGCCGCCCCCCAGATCGATCCACACATGTGGGTTGCACGGGTCGCACTGAATGGCCGCCGGTGACGTCTTAACCCATGCATTTCGCTCACCATTTTTATTTCTGCAGATTCGTGAGCTGTGAGAGAGAGCTTCCGGTTGAGTCGAGCAGCAAAGCTTATCGCGGCGACTGATGAGGTGAAAAGTGCAGTCAAGAAGAAGGTGCTGGTAATCTCGCATCGTCGCTTTGCGTGCAAGCCGGCCTGTGTGTGAGCTTATCGTGCAGCCTGCGCGCACTGCTCGCCGAATTCTGTTTTATCAACCCCCTTCCGTCTTCGGGAGCTCTACTTTCTCCCTCCGTCACACCGCAAGAGTCAGACACGCTCTCTCATACACGCCATGGGCGAACTGGTCCGCGACGACGACGCTGCTGCCTCAATCGCCGCACGCATGGACGCCCGCGTCGACGCCCTCGTCCGTTGGGCCACGGAGCACGGCGCGGCACTGCACCCCTCGGTCGAGGTCTACAGTGACGCAGCGACGGGCCTCTCGCTTCGCGTCAAGCCCGCTGCCGGAAAGCCGCTCGCGCCGTACGAGCCCGTCGTCAGCCTGCCGACGCGCCTGACGCTGTCGTACCTCGACGCCCTCGCCGACGACTCGCCCACGCGGCTGCACCCGGAGCTCGTCGCCGCCGCGCCGCCGCACGTTGTCGGCCGCCTGTTCCTCGCCAAGGAGCTCCTCCGCTGCAGGGACTCGTTCTGGTGGCCCTACATCGAGGCCCTGCCGCAGCCCGACGACATCGCCGCCTGGGCCCTGCCGCCCTTCTGGCCTCCCGAGGAGGCGGAGCTGCTCGATGGCACCAACCTCGAGGTCGGCATCGAGAAGATCAGGGGCGACGTGCAGCGCGAGATCGACCAGGTCCGGGAGCTGCTGGCGCGGCACCCCTGCGCCGACGAGGCCCTCTCCACCGCCCTCGCCAGTCCGGCCATCTACCGCTGGGCCTACTGCGTCTTCTCCAGCCGCAGCTTCCGCCCGAGCCTCGTGCTGTCGGACGCGCGCCGCGAGGGCCTGCCCGCGGGCGTCTCCATGGACGACTTTTCCGTCCTGCTGCCGCTCTTCGACGTCGGCAACCACGACATGACGACGGACATTCGCTGGGACCTCGACGACGCCGGCCGCCGCTGCGAGCTCAAGGTCGGCAGGGCCCACGGCCCCGGCGAGCAAATCTTCAACAACTACAGCATGAAGACCAACGCGGAGCTGCTCCTGGGCTATGGTTTCATGATCCCCGCCACGGAAACCCTGCACAACGACTACACGCACGTGCGGAAGCGCACCGCCGCCACGGGGCCCTCCGGCGCAGCTGCCGCCGCCGGCGACGAGTACCTCATCTCTCGGCGGCCCTTTGCGCACCCGAGCTCCATCCTCGCGCGGTCCAAGCAGACGCTGCGGCTGGACCCGTCGACGCGGGTGCTCAGGGCCTTTCAGCACGTGCAACCGGACATGGTCTGGGACATTTTCTGCACGCTGACGCGCGGCAAGGAGGTCATTCCCGTCGCGGGCGGCGTGCAGGGCGAGGAGGCGGAGCGACTGCGGCGGGAGCGCTTCTTCGCGGGGCAGGTCGTAGGCGACGAGGCGCGCATGTTCCTCGAGCAGACGGTCGCCGTCATCCAGCACAAGGTCCTACAAGAGCTGGAGCGCCTCAACGAGACGGACGTGGAGATTGTGGGCGGCGACGCGGACCTCCTCAGCAGGAACCAGAGGCTGGCGCTGGACTACAGGGACCGGTGCAGGAGCGTGCTCGAGGGCACGCTCGAGGCCATAAGCGAGGACGAGATACTCAACGCGATGCTGGACGCCGACGAAGAAGAAGAAGAAGAGGGGCAATGATTCTGTCTGTGGGAGCCTATTGCACGAGATGGGCGTACACGGCTCGCTCGAGCTCGTCGTACAGGCGCACGGCGATAGCGTCTCCATGCGGCTGGACGTTGACAATCAATACGGCGGCAATGCCCGACGCGCGGTCAATCCACTGTACTCTGGTCAGCTACCCAAGCCACGAACGCGAGGAGGAGCGAGACGACTCACCCAGTGGCTGTTGCACGCGCCGCTCCACATCATGCTCCCCTTGCGCCTCTTACCGCTCACATCCTCCATATTGAGAGCGCCCCCAAGGCCGTGGTTGAGAGGCAGCCCAGTCGGAAATTCCGGCGCGAACCCGTTCTGAACGCCGGAGCGGTAGACGATGCCCTCGAACATCTCCTTCTGCGCACTGTTGAGCTGTGGCTCGAGCATCTGACTCAGGATTGCGTCGCCGACGAGCTCGCCGTTCAGCTGGCCGCGCAGGAAGCGTGCGTAGTCGTCAGCCGTGGTGTATAGGCCCGCGCCGCCACTCTCGACGTCGTGCTGCTCCGCCACCGACGGCGGGCCAGGCTTGAGTCCTCCCGTGGCCGCGTCGCGGTACGAGAAGGTGACCGCGCGGGACGCCGTCTGGGGCAGCCTCTCAGGCCAGAATCCCGTGTCGCGCATGCCCAGGGGCCCAAAGACGTGCATCTGCATGTACTCGCCGAGCGACTGCCCTGTGACCGCCTCGAGGACCAGCCCGGCCCAGTCAATGGCGGTGCCGTACTGCCAGCCGTCGCCAGGGGCGAAGCTCAGGGGCGTGGTGAAGCCGGCCCTGCTCCAGTCGAGGTTGGTGGCGCGGCGGCCGACCTTGGCGGACCACTTGGCGAGGGCCGGGTCGGCGAGGTCGTAGCCCAGGCCGACGGTGTGGGTGAGGAGCATGCTACAGGCCCATGTCAATATACACACGTTACCACGCCGCCTGTCTCCAGGTATGAGGAAGGGTCAAACTTGCCGTAGCGTGATGGGCGCGGTGTTTTCCTCAAGGATGGGCTGGTCCGCGTCGTGGAAGCCGCGCAGGATCTTCATGGCCGCCAGCTCGGGCGCGTACCCGCGCACGTCGCCGTCGAGGGACAAGACCCCGCGCTCGACGAGCTGCATGAGGCACGTGGTCGTGATGAGTTTGGTCAGGGAGGCGACGTAGGTGAAGGAGTTGCGAGAAAAGGGGGCCGACTGGGGATCGAAGCCGATGCGGCCCGCGGAGCCGGCGTAGAGGGGACCTGCACAGAAGAGTCGGCTTCAATCGCATATGGGTATAATGGAGGGAGCGTACCGTCTTTGGAGACGACGACAAAGGCGGCGCCGAGGAGCTTGTCCCGTGTGTCGTCGGCAGGGGCGACGTGGGCGTCGAGGATGGCGTTGAGCTGCTCCATTGCGCGACAAGGGACAGGGCTCAGAATCTACAAGGAGGGAACGTGAAAGTAGCTACCAAAATGAGCGTATCCAAACATTGAGTCGACGGCGAGTGAGATGACGGCGCGTTTTTAAGGCCATCTTGTGGCAGTACGGTCGCGCATGTGTCCTCTGTGCTGTCCTGATGAGCCGTGATGAGTAAAGCGGGCCCGGAGACTTGAACGTCGGTCCTCCACAGGGCGGTGCCAGGCACCGACTTGTCATCACCATCAACCCCGACCGCGCAGGCATCAGCATAACAGAGGTGGTTCGAACGGGCGATTGACCGCGTATCTAATCCCATAATGGCGGCAGACGCGCCCCCCGTGCGTCTCCTGGACCTCATCACCGTCGTCGACAAGTGAGCTCACCCCTCCCCCCATGTGGTTTCTACGGACGTCCGCTCACCATCACCAGCGTGCCGCTCGATTTCGAGACCAACCACGCGCCCTACTACCGCTTCCTCCTCGCGCCGGACCCGCGCACGCACGGCTTCATCCACCCAAACACAGTCGCCAAGCTCCCCTGGCCGGCGGCCTTTCTCGTCGACCACACCGCGCGCACCGTGACCATCACGCCGCCCCCCGCCGGCACCTCCCCGTCCACGTACGCCAACGCCGCCCTCCAGCAAGCCGTCGACGCCGCCATCGCCGCGCCGCACGACTTCCCCACGCTCAACGGCCTGCACAGCGAGTACTTCCTCGTGCCGGGCGCGCGCGCCTTCGTGCAGGTGGAGCGCTTCGCCGCGCCGCTGTTCGGCATCGCCACGCGCGGCGCGCACCTGACGGCGTACGTGCGGCCGCGCGCGCCCGGCGAGGAGCTGCGCATATGGGTGGCGCGCCGCAGCCGCAGCCTGTTCACGTACCCGGGCATGCTGGACAGCACGGTCGCGGGGGGCGTCAAGGCGGAGGACTCGCCGCGCGGGTGCGTCGTCGCCGAGGCGGGCGAGGAGGCGTGTCTGCCAAGGGAGATGGTCGAGCCGGCGGACGGGCCGCTGCGCAGCGTGGGGACGGTGACGCTGGCGAACCGCAATGCGCGGACGGGGCTGTTCCACGGGGAGGTGCTGTACGTGTACGACATGGAGATGGCTGCGCCGGAGGAGGAGGAGGAGGGAGGAGGGGCGGTAGTGAAGCCGCGGCCGAACCCGGAGGACCGCGAGGTGGACGAGTTTGTGCTCATGGGGTGCGCCGAGGTGCGCGAGCGGATGGGCCGCGGCGAGTTCAAGCCCAACGTGTGCGCCGTCATGATTGATTTCATGGTGCGGCACGGGGTGGTGACGCCCGAGGGGGAGAAGGACTATGTTGAGATTTGCGCGCGGTTGAGGAGGAGGCTGCCGATGCCGACGGTGTCGGATGTGTGAGGGGATGGTGCCGGGCATGATGAGCAATAGTTGCGGATGGTATGAAGGGTGCATATGAGGCGAAGGGGGCATAGAAGAAGTGCAGGGTATATAGATGAGGTGCAGAGGGCGTAGAGGAGGCCAAGAGCGTATAGACGAGGCGCATGTATGGGACATGTCACACACGCCGGCCAAAGTCGCTGGCGGTTATTTTAACTCTCACAGAGATCAAATCGCTTCAATCCGTCTATTCACCCGAACATCCACCCATGCGGAGTGTGCTACGCATGATGGCTCAAGTCGACGATCGTGGAAGCGAGTGCGCGTGCACATGTATGTCGTGGACGAGCAAGAACTGCTGCTCAGACCTGACCTGCAGCCAGACGCAGTCCATCACAATCCGCGCATATATGCCCAAGAGCACACCCAATACGAAGCTCGAGAAACAGTGTGTCTATGGATTTTTGGGGATCAATTCACCGCCGGCCAGAATGCCGTCGTCGCGCGCAAAGTATGTATGTTCACCCAAGCAAGCCGGCCGTCTAAGACGGGAGCGCCCGTCCTATCGCCAGGTACCGTACCCAGCCAGCCCGGGCCTGGGAGGATTCCAGGCGGCCCCCCATTCCGCTCCCCCTGTCTCTTATACACATCTAGATGTGTATAAGAGACAGGCATCGCCCATCACGGACGTGCCCTCCCGTCCTCCATCGCCATTCATCTCCCCACAATCACCAGATGGACTCATGTGCGGAACAGAGAACTAGTGCATATACAGCGCCGTTACTGTCTTGAATTGCATCAAGTCACGTTTCGTTATGCAATGCTGAATACCGCCCCTTGGAAGTGCACGCTGGCGTGCGGAACTCCCATGCCAACATGTTGGTGCCCTGGTCCTTCGTCTCAACCCCGCCTGCTCACACTGCACCAGGACGAACAGATGAGCAGGCCGTGACCAGCGGCGGTTGACGACCACGATTTACACACGCTTGCCAGCTGCAACTGTCTGTTTGACCATGCCCTTCCGTCTGAGCATGTCGATTGCACGCCCCTGCGACCACGGCACAGCCAGGACGCCTCACAGCGCTCAAACGCACAAGCGACGTCCAAAGGGTACGGTGCATTCACGCCGCTTCATCCCACGCACCGTCACCCACACGCTGCAACGCACCAGAGACACTGTACCGTAATGATTAACGCTCTTGGCGGTATCATACATTCAATACTACAAATGCTGCGCTTCCGAGGCGCCCACTGCTAACCTCTCGCTTTTCCAGTCCGAAGCGGCAACGGCCACGCCCGACGGCATCTCGCCGCCCGGCCGGCTCTCGACCAAACTCCGTGCCAGTGCCTCTGCTCCCACCCTCAGATCCGGGTCTGGCGACGGCGCCACTCGCGTGGCCCCCAGCCAAGGAAAGCGAAAAAAAAAAGGCCTGCTGACCAAAAGAACCGAAGCCAAACCAGCTGCGCCAGCAAAGCATCCGCGTCCCGCCCCGATAAAGGGCTTGCGCCCGCTAATACGCCTGGGCGCCAGCGCGACTCGCGTCCGCCGCCGCTGCCCGGCGTGTATCCTCTTCTCTCCAAGATCAAGTCCAGAATCCCACCAACGCCAGCTCCTTGCTCATGTCGTTTTATATTCATACACACGTCCCTCGCGGGCGGCCCTCACTCCTCTTCCGAATCCGAGTCGTCGCTCGAATCGGCAGCGTCCAGGGCCACTGGCGCCTGCGTCATCTTGGGAGCGTCTGCAGGCTCTTGACCCGACTTGTACAGCTGCCTAAGGGCGTTAAGCTCCGCGATCCGCGCCTCCTGCTCCTTGGCGCTCATGGGCTTGTTCTTCTTGGGCTTCGCTGCCGTCTTAGGAGCCTGCTTGGCGGCGGCCCGGTTAACTTCTGGCGACGAGTTGGGAGCTGCGGCTGAGTCTTTACCGAAGCCTGGGAGCGCCTTCTTGCAGAGGTCCCAGAGCTTGAACAGCGCCGCGTTGCTCAGCTGGTCAATGTCTAGCTCCAGTTCGCCGTCCTTGTTTTCCTGTGGGCCAATGTCAGTAACTCGTCTTAGTCCACACGAGGGTGCGCATTCACTTACATTCTGGCCAGTGTCGTGCTTGATAATGTCAATGGCCTGGTCGAGGTGCGGCGAGTCCAAGTCGTTGATAGCGTTGGCAATCTGGTTCTTCTCGTCGGGCGACAGGTCCTTCCTAGACGCCGCCTTCTTGGAACCCGCTGCCTTCTTGGGCTTGTCGCCACCCGTCGACTTGCGACCCGCGCCGCCCGCCGCCTTAGGCTTGCTGGCCTTGGTCTTCTTGGCCGGCTTCTCCGGCTTGACCCGGGACTGCTGCGCCTTCTGAGCGGCCTCGATCACCAGGGTCTGCACCGTCTGCACAATCTGCTGCTGCATGGTGATGATGGACTGGTTGCCGCTGAGGAGCAGGCCGTTGAGCTTCTGCGTCTCCTCGTCCAGCCTGGCCTTGAGCTCCTCCATGTCCTTATTGGCTGCCGCGGCCGCCTGCGCGGCGGCGTCGTCGCCGTCGTCCTCGTCCTCTTCCTCGTCGCTGGCGTTGGACGCCGACGCCGCCGGCGCGTTCGCCTTGGCGTGCTTGGCGAGCCACGAGTCCTTGTTCTTCATCTGGCCCGCGTACAGGTCCTCGAGCTGCGCCGCCAGCCCCGACACCGGGTTGCCCTGCTCGGGCGGGCCGTTGAACTTGTAGCAGTTCTCGAAGACGAGCCGCACGTTCTTGTCGAACTCCTTGAGGCTCGAGATTTCGCCGCCGGCCAGCATGCGCTGCACCTTGCCGAGGTCCATCGGCTTCTTGATGACGCTATAGTACGACGGGATGCCCAGGCCCTCGGCGTCCACGGGCTCCGTGAACCACTTGTTGATGTTGTGGTGCTTGGGACCCATCAGCTCTGCCAGGACCTCGTCGCAAAACTGTAGCTCCGGCTTGAGCTTCTTGCGCGACGGCTTCGTCGTGTAGTCGATGTCCTTGGGCTTTGGCGCCCGCACCGTCCGCTTGGGCCTGTCGCCGTCGGTGGCCGTCGAGCTGCGACGGTCGACGGGAGCGTCTTGCGCAGGGGCGGCAGCCGCGGGTGCGTCGGGGCTTCCCGCCGGTCCGGCAGACTGGCGTCGCGTGACGGCTTCGGCGCTGGCGACGGTCCGCGACTCGCGCACTGGCTTAGGCTTGGGCACCGCCTTGGGCTTGACGGGCTCCTCGGCCGGGATCGTGACGGCGTCCTCCCACACGAGCTTCACCGCATGCGCGGCCGCGGCCGTGATGGTGTGGTCGGGGCCGTTGAAATCCAGGGCGTTCTCGAAGATGAGGACGAGGGTGGACTTGAAGTCGCCCCACGTCGCGATGAGGCTGTTGGGGTCGCGCACGGACCGGTCGAGTTCGCCAAGATCCATGGGCTTCTCGATGCGCGCGGCATAGCCGTCCCACACTTGAGGCCAGAGCTTCTGGACCGAGTCACGGAAGTGCGCGCCCGACTTGGTCTTCTTGACGCGGCCAATCACCTTGCGGATCTCGCGTCGCTGGAAGGGGGTTATGGTCGCGGCGTTGGTGTCGGCGTCGGTCCACCGCGTCAGGCTGGTCACGGCCGTCATGTCGAGGAGGGGGGCCGCGTTGATGCTGTCGCCTGTCGATTCAGCGGGTGCCGCGGCGGCCTCCTTGTCTGTCGGTTCGTCCTCCTTGGGTTCCGTCCTCGCTCGCTTCGGCGCAGGTTCCTCGGCGGTGTCCTCCTCACGCTCACGAGCAACCTTGGTGCTAGGCGCGTCGGTCATGGACACGTCGAGAGATGTATCTTTGTCGTCAGTCTCGATGGCGAGCTGGGACATGCGGGAGGGACCCAAGTCGACCTCGGAGCTCGGGAGAGCAGCCGCATCTTGCGAAGGAGTAGGCTCGTCAGTGCTCTCGGGCTTGGCGGTGACTGGCTCCTCTGCGCGCGAGTCGGCCATTTCGGTGTCAGGAGCAGGCTCCTTGGCAACTGGAGATGCAGAAGCGGGTTTCTCGTCGACGGCCTTGGGGGTAGGCTCTGCGGGCTCATCCTTGGCCAGGGCGGAGTCGGCCATCTCAACATCTCCGGACGCCGCAGGCGCTGGAGCGGCCGCAGGCTCTTCGGAAGCCTTGGGAGAAGGCGCCTTGGGTTCGGGCTCCTTGGGCCCCGGCGCTTCGGTCTCTACAGCCGCCTTGGGCGCATCCTCAGCGAGTGCCGGCGCGGGGCTCTCAGTGGGTTTCGGTGCAGGGCTCTCGCTCGCGGTCGGGGCCTCGGGCTGAGCAGGTTTCGCGTCCGCTTCGCTCGCGGGCTTGCTGGGTTCTGCATGCTCCGTCGATCCGCTGCCGTTAACCAGCGGCTTTTCCGTCTCGGGCTGCGGGGACTTGGCAGGTGGCGGCGAGGGCACGTCCTTTTCGGCGGGGTGCTCGGCGGCAGACTGGGCCGGCACGTCGGGCTGTGGTTTTGTTGTGGGTTCTTCGGAGGGAACATGGCTGCGAAAAAGAGTGTCAGCAGGCAAAGTCGATGGAAGCGAATGCTGCGCAGACGCAAGGGAGACGGCGACATACCCATTAACATCGAGCTGCGACGCCTGCTCGGAGGCGGGGGCAGCGGGCGCGGGCGCGGGCGCGGGCGCAGTTGCAGGCGACTTGGCCTCCTGCGCGGGGGCGTCGGGACCCGGCGATGCCATGATAGCGTTTCGCGACGGCAGCGCAGCAGTTTTGATGGGCTTAGGATGCGCGGCGCGGCATGAAATCGGCACGAGACGGAAGTGGGCCGCCGGAGGCCGCGGAGGTGAAAAGAGGTTTAAGTTGGAGGCGGCGCGACGCGGCGACAAGAAGCGGCGGCAGGCCTTTTACGCACGTGCGGGTGCAGGTGTCGATGCAGGCGCCAGTGGCGAGGTGCAGGATGCGCAGTGGCGGGCAGGTGCAATGATGCACTGATGCACCGAGGATGCGACGCGGTGGCGGCTGGCGGTGAGTGCTCGTGGCGCGGGCGAGGCGTCACGGGTGAACGGGCAGCTGCCGAAATTAACGGTCGGGCCGGCGTGCAGCTGTCAGCGACGTTGCGAGCTTGAGCCGGGCGTTTGGAATAACGGCCAAGGCAGCGACACGTCGAGGCGCAGTGAAGCTCTCGTGCGTGTGCGCGGGCGGGCGAGTGGTGAAGCTCTAGTGGAGCCCGGGCGTCGCGCGCGTTTGTTGTGCGAGGCGCGCGTGCGGCAACGACGGACAGATCAGCCCAAAGCAGTTGTCGCTTTCGCAGCAGCTGCAAGACTGTCGATAGGCTTTGCGCAGCGATGCGGGCGGGCGCGATGGGATGGTTGATCGCGACCCGGACGAGCAGAGGCGGAAGGGCGAATGCGACCTGGGGTGCGCGGTGCTGAGGTGCTGCTGAGGTGCTGCAGTGCAGAGGCGCTGCGATAGGTTCGAGGTAGCGCTGGTGCTGGCCGAGCGAGGCAGGCGGGAGGTACGCGTTGGGTACCTGGGCGCGCTGGCGGGAGACGCGTGCGGCTTTGGTGTGGTTAGGCGCGGTTTTGGCGAGGGCTGGTTGGCGGGCAGGAGGTACCGGGGGGGTACTGGCCGGGCCGGGCAGCGGAG